TATCGATTGTTCGACCCCCAACGCCATGCCAATGAATTGTAACCGGGGTATTAATGTTTAAATTAAGGTTATATGTGGGACTATTCCTAATAATAAAATCCCGGAGCCTACGTATAAAGGAGTGACCCAAAATCAGAACCCTCGGCTGTTCCATACAAAAACACAAAAGAACTTGCCTGAAAAATTTGAACAGATAACTTGCCACACGTTGGTGTAGAGGTAGAAAGGGGCCCTCGTATTCGCGCAACGTACTATAAAGCAATGCTCGATCACATGTTACCTAGTACCCAGTTCACGCAGCCAGTGCTTGATAACAACAGGTATCCCGACGCAAAAATGTAATTATGTTTGGGACATAATTTTTTGTTTCTGACAAAGAGAACTTAACATTAGATCTAATTTTAAAATCCTCAGCTCAGATACGCAACACTAAAGTAACAATTAAATTTTCAATAATAAAAAACAGCAGTCCGTTTAAGATGGTAAAAAAAAAACACATGCATATGACAACGAGCTGGCTGCTTTAGAAATGAAACTTAGCTGAACTGAAAACTGTACCCACTCTGATTCGCTGTGCCTGAAGAGCTATAAAGCAAAACTTTATTTACTTTATTTTTTGGATAAATGAGCACTCGAGAGTGGCTAGAAGGCAGGTGAAATTGGTGCGGACTCTCGATTGTCTTGCCTGTGTATTATTATTATGGCTAGTACGTATACAAATACACCTACCAGTAGTCCGAATCTCCGTCGGCACAAACTGTATAAAATACGACTTGGTGAAGTGTGTTTTTTTTTCCTTCTCTGAGGCTAGCTACCCTTAGTATTTGACTTTCTCATATTCAGTCGCTGCTGGTTCTACAGAGTCATCGTAATCTACGATTTCCTCCTTCACAATTCCAGAATCGGGCGAAGACGAGCGAAGCTTTGAGAACCGCTCGCTGTTTTCTCACGGTTCAGGTTTGTTTTCTTGGCGTGTTCAGAAAATGACGTCACAATCAGAGAACAATAGCTTTGTCACTGGAACATAAATTTGCAATGGCGGACGCGAAAAACCTACATTTTCAAGCTCAATATTTTCACTTAGAGGGCGCCAAAGTTCATTTCAATGACCGAAACAGGTACAGCCACTTCTGATAAGCTGAAAACAAAGCGTTTTTGTGACAAACTTGACATTAAATTTTGATCGTAGTAGCACTTTAAGACCTGTGAGAATATTTCATTGTTAGTGAAGAGTTTTTAGAATCTAGTCAAAAACATTTGGTTTTTACTTTCGCAAACACCAAAGGTTTTTTTATTTAGTCAAGAATTTTTTCTCAACTGTAGAGTACTCACGCTGGCTTCCACCTCAATCAAGAATTTTTTTCATCCGATTGAGATCTAATATTGATCAAGAGCGTCAAAAGCAGCCCATCAAGTAATGCTTACACGGTCTCACCAGGAAGCTAAATCACGTGATCTTAATGTAGCTCAGTGTCTTGCACAGACCAAAAGTATCTACTGTCGAACCTCTCTACTATGGCCAACTTGGGGACAGAATAAAGTTGCTGTTTTGGAGAGGTGGCCGTTATGCTAAGGTAATGGTTTAATATGACAGTTTTTTTAGGGTCCGAGTACAGCCTGTTAATTGTGCCAAGTTCGACATCCCACAAGGGTAATTTAGTCATAAAAGCTTTGATATATAGAGCTAAAATCAGATACAAAAAAATTTACAAATGATTTTTCGGATCAAAACGTTTACATGACCAAACAAGCAAGGCTCGCAACATTCGCTATAAGTTTTGTAGACAATTTTTGCTTACTGTAGCATTATTAAATATATGGAACACAATCAAAACGATTGCCACGATCATCAACGCGCCATACAGATCAAATTACGTAACCATTCCGGACCTCAGTCGCTGAAAAAATTGCCCGTTTGTCGAGAGGTTATTTTGGCATTTGAGGACGCGCTGTAGTGGCCATTGCCGTTGTGGAGAGGGTTAAACAAGAGTCTGGACTGTATGGACTGTCCTCCGGGACAATAAAAGAGTGACCGTTGTAAACAGGTGGTCGTTGTGGAGACGTGGCCGGCGTTAGTGGAGGTTCGACTGTATATTATTTTCAATAACTGGAAGAGCAGGTCACTAAAGTGGAAAAGGGGGTGACCTGATCTTCCACCTCAGTGGACAAAAAAATACACAGTTTGTTCTAAAACAACAGAACTGTGCATTCATGCGCATGTCTTGGCTTCTCGGCGCTACGCGCTCTGTCATTGTGGTAGAACACCTTGGAGTTCAGTTATTATTGCGTGGGACATCAGGGGAACGTAACCTAAACTCAACACTCAAGAATCCTGGCCACCCACATTAAGCAGAAGGAAACTTGATTTCTGATAGTTCGGGTAAATTACCGCAAACGGAAATACACCGTAGACCTTGGACGTCTCATTCCTAGAGCCTGTCGTTTCTTTAAGTCCCATTCGAACGAGCGCTCATAGTGACGGATGCTGCTACTTTCGGAACCCTACTATACCTCATTGCTAAGAAGATTAGCGAGAAAATAATTTTTCAAGCCGGCTACCTTCAAATGTCAGTCTAAGCGTGACGAATTGCGGATCTCTGGTGGTACTGAGTTCCACACTATTTACCTTTATAGGTATAGCTGACAGCGCCGTGCGGCACATGGGGATGAGATTATATTATTTAAGGTTGTTGTTAATCGTGTTGTTATACTTGTGAGTTTCAGATCTCTTTTGAAACATGTTTACCTGATAGGTCGGTGCCTGGTTGATCATACACTTAAATATCTGTACAGCGTCTCTTAAATCCTAAAAGATTCAGGTACTGGAAGAATCGTTAATTCTTTTAGTGTCGGTGATATGTGATCATTTTTCTTCCCTTTCGCCCCATATTATAGTCTAGTAGCGAAGGTCTGAACAAGCTAAAGTTTAGCACTGGTCGATTTGCTACTGCTCGACCACACAGGAGAACAGCTTCGTAAAAACAGGTGAGTTTATTGAAATATTAAGAGCGTTGGTTTTGAAAAAAATTTGGCGAATTCCTCTTACCACCGCCAGCTTGCTCATAAGTTGCAAGCTCATTCTCTCTTGAGAAAACTAATCAGTTAAACCAAGTAAGTTGAATAAATATGCCTTTCTTTGGCATCGATTACATTGATGTTTATCCACTGCGATTTGAAAATGGACCTTTTGGCAAAATCGACCGAGATTTAGCATGTCTTAAGCTCACTTTAACCACGGTCAGGTGCGGCCACAGCTTCTGCCGCCCTAGTAGACAACATGGCGACCATCTTACAGTGCTATTCTGTGTCTATTTTGCTTTATAAAAACGTTCTCGGAATGTTAGCAATAAACAAACTTTACCGCTATTTGCATGTACTTTGAGACTATAGTTCATCCGGCTGTTTTAGCCATGTGGCGTGACTTTGGGCAGTTTTTATCTAATCGGCCTTTGTGGCCGTACATCTTGAATGTACGGCATTTTAATTTCATTTGAATTCTTTGAAGTTGAAGAGGAAATAGAGCAGTGCCTTGAACTGCTTTCGCCCGATGGCCAATGGACTCAACCTCAAATTAACTTTCTAGTTTTTCAATTGTCAGTTAGTTTAAAAAGGTTATATGCATTCCGCGCCGGGCTTTGTCTTTTTTAGTTGTGTACACGGTGAGGTTTCTTTTTGTTGCTGCAAACTAAAGAATGGTTAGATGAAATTAGGTCCAGACAGAATGAAAAGAGAATTGTCGTCTTAATAAGAATAGCTCAAACAAATAAAATAACATCAGGTTGGCTTGAAAAAAGAAACTTTCTACTAAGTTAAAAATAAATAAATTTATCAAAAGAAGGACTGAAATAATGAAGCCATTGGGGAGAAATTCTCAATCAATTGCCTACTGTGAAATCTCTCACTGAAAATGACCATTTTGATAGCTTTGGTTTGTAATGCGCGTTGCTAATGAAATTGTGAGGATGAACATGCCGGCCGGTTAATAAATTTTGCAAGTTATTAAATTCACGACAGCAACAAATAAAGTGACAGATAAAATCTCACAGTTAACTTGAACTTAATAATATAAATTCGCGACACAAAGAAGATTGAACGTACGTTTCAATTCGTATTAATTCAGTGTTATGATTCACAGCGTTACGAAACATGCCGGCCGGTTAATAAATTTTGCAAGATATTAAATTCACGACAGCAACAAATAAAGTGACAGATAAAATCTCACAGTTAACTTGAACTTAATAATATAAATTCGCGACACAAAGAAGATTGAACGTACGTTTCAGTTCGTATTAATTCAGTGTTATGATTCACAGCGTTACGAAAATAATACAGATTCACCACCTTGCTATTCCTCTCCTATGGTTGCAGACCCTTGTTACTTCTTTCTATTATCTTAAAACTAGTCAACAAGCCACAGGTTTTTTTATATACGAATTTCAATTTCAATTTTTCATTTTGTATTCTCAAACTCATTAATAATTCATTAAGAAAATACAAAGGAAATTAATGTTTAATGAGTGTTTGGAAATCGGATGAAACACTGCTTAGTATTTGCATCCTTAATTTCTCCTTCAAAAATGATTTTGTTTGAGAAGAAATATCAAACATTCGACACAGTGTTTCATCACCAGATGAAACACCTCGAAGTTCGTCAAAAATACTCCGCTACGCGTCGTATTTTCAACTCTCTTCTCGGTGTTTCATCTGGTGATGAAACACTGCGTCTCATGTTTGATATATTACTTCCAGCTCCCTATTAAGAACTTATCATAATGCAATCACTATTATTGCTGTAAAACACTTCTTCACTGATATTACAACTCCATTGCTATGTAAACAAGTAAATTAAATCAGCCGCAATGTAGCCTTTATATAAGATTTCAGCAATTGACATTAACGCCAAATTTTGCGGGAAAAGCGCAAAGAAAGAGCTTGAGAAAGCGTGTCGCACTTTGATCTGGCCTGAACATCTTCTTTGAGGGCAAGAAGCGCAGTTAAAAATGGCTAGTTCATTACAATTGTGCAATGTTGTTCTGGAAAAGTATTACGAAAGACCTGAAGAATTGGACACACTGTTTAAGATAATGCTGGTATTAAATGGTTTGTTCTCTTTCACCGCAGTTCTGGGAAACTTGAGTATAATTTTCGCGCTAAAGAAAGCTTCATCTATTCCTTCCTCAACGCAGATTCTTCTCAAGTGTTTAGCTGTAACAGATCTTGGCAATGGCGTTCTTGGTCACCCACTTTACATGGTTGTTATTTCAAGACTTCGACAAAGTTACACCTGTGAAAATAACCACCAAATTCTACTAGCATTTTTACTTATAGAAACTTCGTTATGTACTGCCTCGTTCATAACTGTAACCTTCATCGGAGTAGACCGTTTTCTTGCAATTTCCTTACATCTTAGATACAATGAGCTAGTGACTCCAAAGCGAGTAACTGCCACAGTGCTCGCGTCGTGGATAGTTGTTTTAGCTACCACGATCATAAGTGCCTTCTGGTTTTTGAATATTGGGGAGATGTTGATTCTTATTAACGGATATATCAGCACTCTTTTAGTCAGCATCATATACATTAGACTTTTTTCCGTCGCTCGCCGACACGTAGCAAGTATAAACAGCCAAGCTCAAGTAACAGCGCATCTGTCAAGTATCAGAAAAATGGCCAGAAACAAGACCTTAGCCATCAAAACGTTTTATGTGTTCGTTATATTCTTGCTGTGTTACTGTCCATACTTAATCTGTTTAACAGTGTTGTTACTCAGTTCTCAGCCGAATGCGGCGATAAAGGGAGCCGCACACCTAACGTTGGTTTTATGGATGCTTAATTCATCGTTAAATCCAGTGGTGTTCGGCTGGAAACTAAAAGAAGTTCGTCAAATCGTTAATAATGATTTCAAAAAAATTATTCCTTGCAAGTCGAACGACTGAGATCTTTCATTTAAGGTGTGTTTCAGGATTGGAGTATCGGGATTTGG